CGAACCATATACGCTCGTTAATCAATAAATATTATTGTATCATAATTTTGTATTAATTTGCGTAAAAATTACCTACGCGTCCTATTGCCCTTTCTTACTTTAATTTTCTATTAAATTATAATAATTTATTATAAATATAATAATAAACTGTTATTATATTCCACATATGTGATAAAAATAAATCATTTTTAATGATTATGAGAAATCAACACAATATAAATGACTTTATATGAGCGATTTAGTCTTGTTTTAAGTTGTTATAAAATGGATTTTACAAAATATATTTTATTATTTTTTTTAATAACTATTCTTACGAATCTTTAAATATACAATTCCATAAAAAACGCGCCATATAGAATTCTATATTATTAATTGATATCTTTCTTTTTTGTCAACACTGTCATAACAAGCTATTTAACGTGCTTTTTCCATTTGTTTAATATTTTCTTGGTTTCTCTTTAACTTTTACAAAAAATATTGATTAAATGTTCTTATATAATGTTCTTAGAATAAATTATAAAATAAATTGCTAATAAACAATACATAGTTAATAACAATAACTTTTAACTGGGATGTAAAAAAACACCCCACGTGATCGTTTACGTAAAAAAAATGAGATACCTGTTCTCGGATTAAGAGAAAGAAATAAAATTAGGTAAAGAAAGAAAGAAAAGTTCAAAGAGTACAAATAGAAACGGAAGAAAGAGAGAAGAGAAAACTTTGTAGCAATAATATGTTTAGAAGAGAGGCGGAAGGGGCAACAGGTGGGAATTTGCAATCATAAATAAATTCAACACTACATCGCGCAGCTTAAACATCTTTTTGTTGGCTAATTGCATACAATAAATATAGATTAACGTGTTCTTTTTCTTTATCTCTATTCTTCCTGTTATTTTAAACATTTTTCTCTGTTTGTAAGTGTGCGTCGTATGCGCGCATGCGTGTACGTGTGAATTTTCCAATGTACTTTTCGATGTACATATTAAATAAAATAAAGATATTTGTATAAGATGACTTTTTAAGATGACTGTAAAATGTGAAAACTTACTTAGATTTAGTATACAAATTTCAATATTTCGAAAAGAGAGAGATAAAGAGGGGAGAGGAGGAGAGGGGGGGAAGAGAGGGAGGAAACGAAATTAATCAGAACTCAGTCAGGAGGAAGTGGATGCGAGTGCATAATTCTATGCACATACGAATGATGCTGCACGTATGCATGCATGTATCAGTTTAACAGTCGGCATTGCCATACGCATCCGTACACGTATACGCTTGTTTGTATGTCGGCGGTTGTCTCTGTAACGTTAGTTAGCTAGGAGAATATACAATTCAGTCAGAAGCGGTCGATTGGTCCAGACGAGATGTGTGTATATGCTCATACAACACAAACGTTGGTCGAATAATCGCCCAGTATCGACATACAAATATGTACACGCAATAAGAGATTTATTAATTACAGCGCACCGATAATGTTCAATGCATACGTTTCGATCAACATAAACCATATATAGTATACAATGAACATTATCGGATCAGACGCGACGCGACGCGATGCAACGCGACGTAATGTACGACGTGAGAATGTATTCAATTTTGCATGTACTTATTTTTTACAAGATTTTTACGTTTTTCTTAAATTTATAAACATGTATGTACGTTATTTTTTCTTCTCAATTAATTGCAACCACATTTCGTATAACAACCACATTTTTTTATGATATTCTAAACGCAGAAACACAAAAGTATAAAGTAATTGCGCCCACATCATTCCATCGACAAAACGATCTTTTATTACCGAGTAATGACCAATTTGCTTTTACAATTGATTACTGTTTTACACGCATACATTTTATTAATAGTCAAGTCGAACCACGTACGTATCGTATCAGAGACATTGGTTGCCCTATCACTACCAGACAGCTTCCGTCTGGGTAAACATACCGATATACATCGAACAGTCTGGCCGGTAGGGCTTACTGACCATCTAGAGGCATCCATCACAGGATTATCGCAGGAGGTTCGCTCGCGCGGGCAGTTGGAACGTGTGGTGCCTACAGACCACTACACAGACACAGGCACGCGTGGGCGATCGGTATCCGTAAACTTTATAATCTTTATAATGCACTTGGTTTGTATTTATATTTATTTGTGCAAATGTTTTTTCTTCTGTATTTTCTCCATGTACTCGCTTTTAATTATTTTCGAATTACTATTCCGTTATTGTGAATCTGTTTCCAATCGAAAGATAGGTAGGATGCATTAGTAGATGTAAAAAATGTATATATTTGGTACATCCATTCTTTTATTCTTTCGCATGTCTCACTTAAACAGAATTTTCAACGATGCGATGTATAATGCTTGATAATATAATAGTTAATTTATTTAGATTAAATATAATTCGACACATTTCAGTTGCTTTGTAATCTTTACGTCTAAAACTCGCAAGATATTTTCTCCTAATGACTTGAAATGAAATTTTCTCAATGGAATTTACTGGACTCATATTTGGACATACATCTTGTATAAAAACATCTCGAGTGTCGTAAATAGGGTGACAAAGAGGGGAAAGGATTAGAAAAGAGAGAGAATGTATATGATGCAGTCAACGTGTATTTAATGGTGATGACATTGGCAGAGGGGCAGGAGAAAGAGAGAGAGAGAGAGAGAGAGAGAGAGAGAGAGAGAGAGAGAGAGAGAGAGGTAGTGGAAGTGATAGCGATGGTGTGATGGTAGTGATGATGATGATGACGACGATGACGATGACGATGACGAGGATGACGATAGTGGTGGTGGTAGCAACGAGTCGTCGTCGGCGTCGTCGGCGATCGACGGTCGATGGTCGACAGTGCCAGACAGCGTTGTAAACGAGCAAAGTTTCGAATCCAATATGCGCTGTCCAGCACGGATGCTAGAACCCATATTCAAGCTGTCAAGGTGCAGCGCACGTGCATCCACGTCGCTTCCCGGTATGCCAGACGGGTAAACCGGGACAAACTTTCGAACTGGCACAGACCGTCTGGCACCCTACCACTGTGTCTCAGAGAACCCGCGAATTCCTAATATGTTATTGTACTTCGGCACTGTTTTGTTCGCACAATCGACTACAGTGGTGTCTGGGTTCTCGACCCAGGAATTTCCTTCCTTTCTATTAAGCGTAATCAAAAGTTTCTCCACTAAATGTCAACTATATAGTAATATTACATTAATCGTATAGTTATACTGTTCTTTCTTTAAACATAAAATCTCTTATCGTGTACGAAATCCTCTAACAAATGTTTACAATATTTTGTACTTTAATATTCACATACATTTTCTCACAAACTTAACACATTGTCCTGATGTATCGATTGTTTGACTATGCAATCAAAATTTAAGTTTCATGTTTTTGCATATTGAACATGTCTGGACTTGAACGATGAATTAAGAAAGAGAGAGAAGAATGAAAAATGTAGGAACGTGACAGATGTCATAACATATTATCTACACTATCTAATTGGTAATCACAACATATTACCTTCGCTTGAATATATTCAGTCGGTTGATGTAAATCATTGCTTATTTTCTATCTTTTTAATAATTTTCTCTTCGCGCTAAATAAGATTGTATCCATTCATGTAATAGCGACATAGTATCTACACCATCCAATTGAGAAATTTGCAATTTTTTGCTAAATTAAAAATTCTAATTTTATGCGCATCATTTCTTGAAGTCTATTTGTAAAAATTATTCTGTTAATTCATGCAACATTTAATAAATCTAAGGAAAATAAAAAAAAATATATTCTCTCAATTTAATAAATAATTTTATTTTTATCTTCATTTTGTTGTACATATGTAAATAGAGTCTGTGGATTATAATTTATGGATCTGCAGTACTGGCTATTATTGCTAAACTATTTTAACTTCCCTCTTCTAATGAATCTACGAAATCTGGATTGTGCGCGTAGTGTTGCGATTGGAGAAAATAATTTAGTAAGTCAACGATGGTATCCGACGAGACGTTGTTTAATGAATATTTTATACTGTTCGCCTCTTCGATATAGTTTACTATAGAGTTTTTCCATCTCTCTCTCTCTCTCTCTCTCTCTCTCTCTCATTCCAAATATCGATCATTATCGCTAAAATCATAAAACCAATAATTGTCTTGTTTATCAGTTTTGAAATAGCTTTGATTCAAATGATGTAAGTATTTAAGAAACATCTTTACTCGAAAATTGATAATCAAAAACAAAGTGTCGATTATATCTATATCTATGTTTGCGATGAGTTGTTAGTAGCTAATTAATATTCAAAAAATTAGAAAACTAAAATAAATGGATACATATTTTCTAATTAACGATTGTTCACTGAGCTAAATGCAAATCTTTACAAATTCTCTTTTTTCATTTAAAGCTGTATCCTAGAAATCACTATACCGTGCTGAAAATTTATAGTACACGTAACGTACTATATATTTCTGGCAATAAATTTTGAAACACAGCCTGAAACAAAGCAAAACAAAAAAAAAGAAAAATGAAGAGTGAACTGTAATACATGTATGTGTGTATTATCTAAACAGTTTAACAGATACATCATTATGTGCTATCATCAATGAGAAAAAAATCAGATATGAACTTTTTCGTTCCTAGGCAACTCGTAAGATCGTATCAAGTATAGTGGAGTTATATTTTATGTGCTCTACAATCATTGTCTTATTTAAAAAAATTGGCTCAAATACAGCCAAAGAATTATACATATATTACATAACAAATTCACAACACATATTTAGTTTATCATAGATTTTCCGAAAAAGTGTAAAAATATGATGGACTTAAAATATGATTTTTATATTGGCAATTACATCTTTAAGAATTTACGAAAACTATTCAAGCTATACAATTTTACATTTTTTACTTAATATCTGGAAAATCAGATATGTTGTAATAAAAAAAAATTGCTATTTCTGTTGTAGCTACTTATTACCTGCAATCACAACAAAGTTGGTCTTGGATCGAAGAGAACGGACGTTCCTAATGTCGAGTTAGATTCCAATACGGAGAAGAAACAGGCAGTTTGGCGAAAAGCACAAAAACGTTATAAAGAAATATTAGATTAACTTTTTAACAAATGAATTAATTTACAGCAATAAACTAATTCAATAAAGCTGTCTAGTCGCATATTATGAAAGAGATCAAATTTAGTTTTCAAATTAAAAAAGGAAAATTTATTATTGTTTACTGTCCCGAATGATAAATATCAAAAACTTTTTAAAATAATAATTTGGGATTAAGAAAAATAATTTTGTAACAAAATGCAAAATCGCAGTGCAATTGATGCATGTAGGGTCACATTTAAATCTACATCAAGAGAAGTTAAGAGAAGATTTTCTATCTCATTTTCCATATATTTGTTAAATATTATGTAGTATTATTGATAATTAACTTGATAATTGATTTGAAATTTCTACCGCGAAAAATATTTATTACTGAAATTTATACTTAAGCCTGCACTGGCAATGTTAGACTTTAAAGACACAGTCGATTTTTTAATTGTAAATTTTGATAAATGAATTTAAATCTGAAAAATAAGTAAAATATAATACAATCTAATTTCTATGATAGTAAAAAAACTTTGTTAAAGTTTTCACAGATACATAACAATTTTTTATAGTAGATTTTTATATATTCCAGAACAATATGAAAATTTGCACTGAATCTTGAAGATCCAGGTTGCGAACGAAGGGCGAAAATTTCACATTGTCGACGGAGAATTAAATTCAATATTTATGTATAATATTTATCTATAATATTTTTTTTTTTTTATATGAATAAAAATAATGGTGATTCTTTTTGCCCGAACAATAATCATTTGACTACCTTCCCCACACATTCATCATTTAACAAACATACATATATTTACTAAAAGAATGTTTTCCATTTAGTTTTTGATTCATCATATTTATATATAGGTAATGATAGAATGATAATTTAAATATGAAACATTCGAAAAGAACTCAAATATCATTTTAAATAAGTATTATGTTATGCTTCAAAAACATCGTTGATTCAAATCCCTAGTCGATTTCTCATCTCTCATGATAAAAAATCAATTTTATGTGTTATTTGGTACATATATCTGAAACTAATAGTGTCCATTTGCTGATCCCGTTCAGATTCAATAAATACTATACTATTTTTTCCGCCTTGGGTCGTACGCGATTTTTTATGGAGCTTATAAAATGTTGAATTGCAGCGCGACAGGACGAAAGGACAAAAAAAGACATCTCGAAAAAAATGTCAAACTATTGTTATACATTTGATCGTTATAAAGAAAACTAGCGTCACGGCGGTTTTTACCAAAATGGATATTGTATGTAGATTTCATTAAATTTTGTCTCGATCAGCCAAATTAATCTTTATACATAAGCGGAAAACTCAACGCGACTAAATCTCAATGAAAGATTTCTCGCGAGATAAAAATTTATTAATTCTTTTAAATCATAACAATTATTTCTCACATATTAATTAACTTCTAAGTCTGTTCTTTAATTCATATTATTCATATATACATTAAGAAGTGTATGATACACTTTTCTTTATAATCGATGCGCGACATTTTATTTATGGTATGCGCTCTTAATCCTGTATCGTATGTAGTACCTCTAAATTTAACGTACTAATTTGTAAATTTCTAATGAAAATGACATTTTAATCAGTTACACACTAATATAGGAGGACTTTTTCTATATCGTAAATATTTTTCTCATATTAGCACGAGGTAAAATGCATGAGGGATAATAATGAACATATACTTATAACGATTTGATTGAAGGTAAATTTGCGGCATTTTTCTTTTAGAGATAAAAAGCTTCTCGTACATATCTCGTGTACCTATTCCTCGACATATTATAAATATACCGTCAACATTTCGATTATTCTTCAACAAATCGACAACAATAGAGATTCGTATATGCCATGAAATACTATCCTGAGAACAATAGGATAATAGAGTAACTTCGGCACTTAAGCGCCGCAGAAGTCAGAAAAAACAGAAGTAGCTAATAATTTGCACGCAATCACTCTGTTATATGCCTTTATGTTATATTAGTATTATTATTTCAGTTTTTTACTGTTAATAAAATTATATGTGTGTGTGTGTGTGTGTGTGTGTGTGTGTGTGTGTGTGTGTATATATATCATTAATCTATATAAAATATAATTACTATAGGGATTGCAAAAGGCTTAATGATTATTTGGTGATATGTAAGTGTAAAGGGTGTAGTAAAGAATGGAATATAGTAAAATACAAGTGTTTAGCTCTCATCTTTTTTGTTCAGCTTGATGTCATGTACATCCTGCATTGAGAAAAAGAAATGGTTGGAATAACCATAATTTAACTATAATTTATAGTCATTTTTTGAGACAACCATAAATGTATAATTGTTTTGATATGCACATATGAATTATAGTAACCTGAACACTGAATTATGATCACGAACCATAATATATATTCATTCAACTATATTGTATAGTTATCTTACACATAAATCGTATTTGCATAATAAATTATACTGTAAAATGTTATTATAACAAAAACATAATTAAAAGTACGTAGAATTATACATCTATTACTACCAAGATTTAGAAATTGGTAGCAAAGATGGTTATTACGAAATCATATGATAAATATAACCAAATTATTAATTGTTTTAAACAAATAAATTACGAAATAATTTAGTAATTGTGACCAAACAATCCTTTTTTATGAAATAAAAAAATGTTATATCTTAACGAAAAAAATATTTGTTTGTTATTACTTTTTATTTTTCCATTTCAATTTATTATTTACTGTTTTGCATACTATATTCTATCTTATTAACTACAACTAATTATTAAAATAACGCATCGCGTCGTCGGTAAGATTTGAGAACCTACGATCCTTAGAATGGTAGCCTAATACATTTACGCTGAGCTAAATGCATGCTTGTGATCGAGAGAAACATTGCCAACATTACTTATACTTCCTACTGTAATCATTCTTAATTTCATGCCTCTGCTGCCAGTTTAATATTATTAATATTTGAGCAGATTACATGGAAACGAAATAATACGCTGGTATTTATTAATATAGTTAGGAAAATGACAAAGCGATTGTCCTCAGTCTCGAGAGATCGTCCGACCGTGGCGGGCGTGTTTCGTCTCGCTGCGATCTGAGTGTTGCGTGTTTTATTTTTGAGCATGTGTGATCAGCTTTGACTGTGATATAATTCTTATTCCTGTAGTTTGTTTTTAAGGAAAATGTTAAATTATTATTTATGTAAATGTGGTCAAATATACTATTGCTATACGAAAAAAAATATTTGGTTGATTTAACTGGAATTGTGGAAAATGATCCAGAATTGTAGTTAAGTTTACTAGATTTCTGGTTAAATTTAGATTGATAGAAGATTAGATTCTGGTTATTTCAAACAGAATTCTGGTAGATTAGGAATTGGTTATTTCACACAACCAGAATTCTGATAGATTTATCAGAAATCTTGTAAACTTAATTAGAATTCTGGATCGTTCATTTTCCACCACAATTTCAGTTAATTCAACCAAATTAATTTTTTCCGTATATAATATTATCAAACATTTAATGCAAATAATTATTTTTACAATTTTCTTTTTAATTTTTATAATACGTATAGTAAATTTGACCAATTAAATTTGTAGTTAGAAGTACAATCAAATGTGCTATTAATATAGCTACACACACTATTTGAAAATGTAGATTTTTCCATTTTTTAAAATATATTTTTTAGTTATACATTGTTACCACATGTAAATAGTAAGCGAAGAGAAGAAATGGTTATATTCATTATAATTGCAATGATTGCAATTATCACATAAAAATGGTTACTTTATTTATCATACGTATTTTCATATTTTACTATATTAATATTTGAAATTATAATAATTTATAGTACAATTTTTGTACGGGTTGATAGAATTATATAAGATTATTGTTATTATATAACAAGCATTATAGCAATAATAATAAAAATGATGCTCCTAACCATAATTATTTTTACCATACAATTATAGTCACAAAACGATATACTTTTCTCTCAGTGTACCTGTTTGAGATATAGATATGGCATTTTAAGCGGGATTTATTCCTAAAGTTTAAAGCGCACAAAGTGCTGCGCAAACTGGATTCAGTGTGCGTGCGTGCGTGCGTGCGTGCGTGTATATATGTGCATTAAATATTATAAATACATTACATGGAACATGTATTTCATATTACAACACAAAAGATTATAATTACTATCTAGGTTATATAATAAGTTTATACTAATTCATATATGTATAAATTGCATTTATCATTCCTATTCTTTCAAATTTTGTAAATATATTTTATAAGTTATTTTACGTCTTATTTCTAAGAATTATTTGTAAATTTTTCATGAGCCATTTACATTCCACCTAATTGTATATCTCATCCCTATATGAGATATATACGGCAAAAATGCAAGATTTCAGAAATTTCTTTTTAATATGAAAAATCAATATTTCAGATATTTCTTATATTTTTTTCCCATGGTAATAGACAGTACAAAGTTTTTACTGTGAGTTTGTATAGCTCATTTATCTTAAACGTATCGTTAAATAATATTTCATGAATTAAGTTTATGTTATTAAATTAGGTGCAGTATATACAGGGTGGGCCATCTATTGGTACGTTTTTGAATTTCGTCGTATGGCAACACCGAACGAGCTACAGACCCGAAATTTTGACAGTTTATTAGTCATACCGTCCGCGGCACGAAACAACATGTTTTCTCTTGAAGAGCGAGTATATATATATATATTAGGTGTTGGAATTAATTCGTAGCGTTTTTAATGAAAGAATGTTATTTATTTCACATGAGCATTAAAAAATACATTAATGAAAGTACTTCCCATCACTTGTAAAACGCTACGAATTAATTCCAACACCTAATATATATATATATATATTAGGTGTTGGAATTAATTCGTAGCGTTTTACAAGTGATGGGAAGTACT